TACCACTTTATCAAGAAGGCATCAAAATGTGTCACTTTGCAAAGACATGAAAACACCTGCAGTAACCGACACAAAAATAGCATTTTTAGAGTGATGAAATAATTGCACTTAACTGTCATGGATATTAAAGTTATCACACATATGTACCGCGAAAGCTAGAATACATTTTTTTTTTTACAAAGCACTTTATAAAAAAATTCTCTGCACACAAAACCTATAATTTTCATATTACTATCATACTAAAGATAAATTCACTTTAAAGCCAACACTTAAAACATTTTAAACAAAAAAAGGTACCAGTACCTACACACAGACAATAACAAATACAAGAATACTGTACTGCCAAGAGGTTTGACTGAAACTCCTTTTGAAAGCTTCTGCAAATATGTTAAGAAAACATTGGAGAACATTCACTTTTTTCAAAGAGCCTTCCCTCGCTGTCTAAACTAGAGGTACTTTATCATCAAAAGGCAAGTTCTACATCAAAAGTTACCAGCAGCAGTACAATATTAAAGTAACCACTGACCATATATGAATATGCTTAAGTCACAAACCCATTTTATACACATTACACAAATAAACATAAAGTGAGAATTCCATTAAGTCATTTACAAATGTGAACAAATGCACATGGCAAAAAAACCCCAAAACAAAACAAAAACCCAACCTGTTTTACATAAAATGTACTGAAGAATTAAAGGCTATTCAGGTTTTCAATGTTATAAAATTCTTTTGTCTTTTTTTTTTCAGGCACATATTGTATTTTTTGTCTGCAGTCATGAGCCTGAATCAGAGGCCCATAAAACAAAACAAAACAAAAACAAAACCACATATTCTGTAAGGAGGTAACAGGGATCCATCTCCTTTTAGTCAACTGAGTGCATTTAAGATTTAATTTACACACTAAAACTAATTACATGATCTCAGCAAGAATGACCTGAAAAGTTAAAAGATGAAGATGTCTGAAGCGTTTCTTGTACTTTGACTTATCCAGCCTCAATCTTTTTCAGGGGGCTAAACATCTCGTTATGAAAGGCAAGAGGGGGAAAAGAGATCATCCTGAGAAAAGTTCCAAACTGGACTCTAGTATACACATCTGCTGTGTGACCGGGTAGGTGTATCAGCAAGGGTCAAGTAAAGGGCAGACGAAAGGTTTCTCAGTATGACTGATTGAGTGATCCAGGAAAGCCGTACGGGGACCTGCTTTGGGAAGCAAGTGCGCCCGAGAACTTGCAGAGGAAAAATAAATAGATATGGATTAGTACGTCAAACGTCGTATCTGTCTCGAACCAGCCAGCTACCTACGTTTGACATGAACGTACACCTTCATGATTTCAGATAGCCTATACCGTGGAGGTTTTAACGGAAGAAGCTACTGCCAACCTTAATGAGCTGTAGCTGCGGTAGAAAGGGAAAGTGAGAAACAGGCATTATAGCTGCAATTCCTTCAAAACAGTGGTGCAGTACCTAAATAAAATAATTTTGGAATTCAAGTAAGTAAAACTACATTTGTTAGTAGTAATTGTTAACAGCCCCAAATGGTACCATTATGCTTATTTTAATGAGACAGAAGTGTAGTTTATCACAAATACTGACTAGTACAGCTGAAACGTTTGGTAATAACTGAAAATATATGCTCTACTTGTGGGGCGAAAGTGTCTTTGCCCTACCTCAGTCTCATTGAGTTCAACGGGATTACTTGTCTTATAGAGGTAAGTGAGATTTAGACCTTGAAGGAATAACAAAAATAATATTTTAGAGTCAGGGAACTTGAATTATCACAATATTTACCGCACAGTGTCACAATATTTCTATATATAAAAAAGTTAATCTTAGTTTTCATCAAATACTTTAAAAATCAAGTTAAAATTGTATTCACAACTATATAATCCCTCTGACAGCTTTTGGTTTAGCTGATATTTGTTCTAACATTGTTTTCTTAAAATCTTGCTCCTCTTCCCATCAATTTTAGCTGTAGTGTACAGTATGGCCTCCGTTCACAGAAGATATCAGTTACAGACATGTTATCAAGAGGAGCTATTTTTTTTTTTCCAAGATGTCATCTGGGAGAAAACCAAAACAAAACCACCCTGTGTTTTGAATCGTGCTGGACAGAGTTCCTCTAACAGCACCTTCATCCACAACGCTCCCACTCCACATTTCAATGCTTGGAACACACAACTGCATTTACCCTAGCTATTCTCTGTTCTCCATTTTCATCTTGTTTTACGCACCTGACTTTCAGCAAGCACTACTTTGTTAACAAAATCTCCTGTCTGAACAAAAAATCTTCACAGATACCAAAATATTATTAGAGGAGAACAATAAAGTCACATTTGTCCACTGTCAGAAATTCTACAGTATATGGATCTCTCACTATGCAGATGCATGACTGGAGGAAGAGAATATAAATGTCAATCATTTTCATTTTTATATTACAGACAAATCAGTTGCTGGTTTGCATTGCTGTCAGAAATGGCAAACAGTAGATTATTCCTCAGCAGGTTGATCATTAGCAAAATTACTTTGCTATAAATGGTGCTTTCGTGAATGGAGGCCTGTAGATTCAACTTCTTCCAATAAACCAAAGGCATTACGGTGATAACTAAATATTTTTGGTCTCTCTACAAATTGTCATTATTATGGCAGCACTTTTCTAAGCTGGAATTTCAAACCAAAGGCACTTTCATGCTAGAGTGCAGAAGAGTCACAATTAATTATTTGGTCATGAAATTTAAAAAGGCAGCATTTGTTAATACAATTCACTTTTCAGGGAGAACTAAGAATCTGTAACCTTTCCTTTTGGTATAGGCATTTAACTGCGTAGTAACGGGACTGACTTGTACAGAAGGTTCGTTTAGACCAAGCAGTCAAAGAGTGTTTCTGTGGGGAAAAAATACAGATACATTTAAAAATGGAACCAATTAATAAAACAATGTGTAAAATTTATGTTAAGAGGCTAAAGGTACTTCTAACATAATGCTAAGGCACTGCATATTGTAATGCTTTGGCAGCTCTCAATTAAAAGGTTCCTACAAAAAAGTAACAGTAACAAGATAAGTACTTCCAGCTTACAAAAGAGCTCACAGTTTACAGGCAGCCTGTTGGACTACACACCCCACACTGAACAGTTGAAGGATTAAGGCTTTTAAGAATTAACATATACAGGGTATGGATCATTTACAAAAGTGTAAAGAAAAGACAATGGAAGTAGTTTCCCCAATATTACATATGTGAACACCAATAAACATTGTGACTTTTTATACCCTATAGTTATGGCATATATAGTGTGCCAGATTCTATTAAAAAAACCTGTACCTGGTTTTCCAACTTGACTTACATACGCTATATGCCTCAAAGAGTTCGCTTGTTATTAAAAAAAAATCACCAAACCCACGATTCAAACCCTAAATAAAAAAGACAACTTTAGAACAAAATAAAACAAAAAAGTATTTTTGACTTGTAACACCAAGTGCTTAGAATAAAGGGCTACCGTTAGGCTGTTACAATGCAGTGCTTTTCCTGATGTGATTGTTAGTGTTAAAAATGAGTGTTAAAAGAGACCTACCATGGACATATTTCTCTGTTCCGTTCACGGAATATAAACTCAAAGATCATCAGCCCTAGTATCCACAGGCAGGTAACAGCTAGACATCACAGCGATCACCCACCTACTCGAGGTGATCCAGAGTTAGGTCAGAGGCAGGCTAAGGAATTTAAGCAGTCACCCTTCCCCTCAGTGATGTTTGTATCGTCCTCTAACCTGAGTCCTCACCAGTGTTAAGTATGAACGTGGTCTGACGCAGATGTGCAGCAACCCGCTACCTCGCCTAGGCTATATTCTAGTCTAGATAGTTCAACAATGGGCAGTTCTAACAGAAGGTACTATGCAGAAATATAATACACAAAAAAATAAGACTGGCTTTGTTTGAAGACTACATACAGCACTGTGCTTGGGAGTAAATTCTAGACTTAAATTGTGCACGGGCGCCTATTGGTAAAGGGCAGGGAGAAGGGACCTGCTAAATGTTAACTTCTTTGATTCAGGACTGCAAAAGACCTTCCCAAGAACATGCCTTGCCGATACCTCATGACTGATCTTTAAGGTGGCTTGTGCTTGGCCCGGCAGCCCTCAGCCTTTCAGACAAATGTTTCGCATGAGAACCTGCTGCTGGCCCAGCACCTGCTGAAACAACTGCTGCTTGGGCAACTGAGGGGCCGTGCTGGGTGTGCAGCAGGAGGGAAGGAACGGAGTAACACTGGCTGGTGTAGCCACGAGGAATGAGCCTACTTCTCTCATGTGTGCGTACCTCGGACAACCACTCACACCCACATCCATGGTTTGAATCCTTACAGTATTAAAATATCTCCAGCTGTACTTCGCTCCTGGAGTCTTCCCTGAATGTACCAGAAGGATGAATACTACCACATCCGGATGCAAAAGGACATCAGACCCCATGTGGTACGTACGTGTTTGTTTCATATAAGGTCTTCGCCAGTTGGAACTGGAGAGACAACAGGGAGAGGTGTAAGAGCACCATGATAAGGAGGAAAAGGAGAAAAAAGAATCTTCAATCTTCTTTGCCTGATGTTGGTTGTGATTTTCTAGCATCTCACAGATATTAAAGCTGTTGATCCTTTCAGAGGTGCACGTATTCTTCTTCCAAACACGTTAGTGTTTTGCTTTCAGTTTACGAATTACTCAATGCTGTTGCAATGTCAGTTGTTTCTGTTCATCTGTTAATTTCAGAGTTGCAAGTTTTTCGCTCAACTTATTAGAAAACAGTTGTCCATATAAAATATAACTGCACACACAAGACTACATATAATGCAAGTCTAAATCTTCAGTATTTACCTACTTATTGCAAAATGAGCCATCTTTTTCATTAAATAATCAAATTTTCATATTAGTACAATACAACTTTATACTCTTTTAAAATACACTAGATATGTTAGGAATAAGGGATGATGTTTTCTCTCTCTCTGCAATACCTGTTTGAAATTTTAATGGATTAGAAGATTAGTTTTAGCGTTGAGAAAAAAATACAAAATTTGCCTAATTTTAGGACCTGTCTGTTTCTATCAGGCATTTCTTAAGGCTATATTTTTCATTTGGTTTCAAACAGAAAAATGTTTCATTTTAAAAAATAATTTAGTGAATTACATTCGTCCATATCTTCCACCCTAATTAGTTACAAAGATAATTCTATAAAGATTATTAACTTTGTGTACTCATTTACAGTTATAGCTAAAGATTAATTTCAATTTCACTTGCATTGTAAAACAAGTATTTCATGTTGGAAAAAAACCCAAAATAAATTCTTATAAATGCTGTCAGTTTTTCCCCATGGCAAATGCTCTGTCATACATTTTTCTATCAGAATTAAAAATAGGCCTCCACAGACAGAGGCGTCAGGTTCTTAAATACAGTCTTCCCAAAGAACTGTGGTTTACAAATTTGAAGAACACTTAGTTTTAGAAATAATTTTTACAACTGTACCAGAATTTCACAGCTACAATTATATATGAACACATTAAAAATGACTTCACTTAAAACAAGATTTAGAAAAATGTGGGTGAAAGTTGGGCCAGAGGCACTGCCACTTAGTGTTGAGGTTTACAGTCTGTGTTTTGATAAAGAAGTGAAATGAAGTGTGTGTATATATATATATATATAAATAACTGCTCAGTCCTTTACAAGCCTGTAGATATGATGCTGTGCTCCATGTTCGCTGTTCGACACTTCAAATACACAAGCCATGCAGAGCAGGGTTTCTTGTGTATCCCTGTTTGTTACAACCTGTGTGAGGGGAAGGAAGAAGTAGATGGGATATTAGAAACTTGGAACTGCCAGGGCCAAGCCAAGAAATGACTGCCTGAATTCAGACAACCCTTAGATGTGGCTGTTTGACGTGCGCGGCCTCTCGCTCTCCCTCTGGCATATCAAGCAGACCCCTGTGTCTGTGCTCACACGCTGTGCCTGGGGGATGAGCTGCGGGGCGGTCGCTCCCAGCGGAGGGCATGGAGCTTCATCCCACCCTGGCTGCTCGCCCATGAGCCGCCATCACATGGTCTTGGCTCAGCCTTCCCCAACCGGAGCCCCGCTTCAGCAAAGGGAACCCAGCGCACCCTTGTCCCCTCGCGCTCGCCTGCCCCTTCCCCATGCCGCCTGCCCACGGCCCTGCCAGGAGCCGGCGGTGGCGGCAGCGGCGCATGGCTCCGCGTGCTTGGCTGAGGGGCCACTGCAAAGCCCCAGTGAAGGCCAGCTGGGTAACTGGCTGAAACTGGCTTAAAGGCCACTGTGTGGTCCATTCCTCATGCTTTAGATCACCTGTTGGGCGTGCCCATTACTGCGTGCTGCCTGGCCCCAGAACTAATTAACACCACTGACATTTGCAGCACTGTAACTGGCACTGCAGTAAGAACACATTAGACGAATGGGATGGGTCAAAGTTACGCCTCGGGCTCTCTGCAAACACCAAATAGAGACGTGTATGAAAAAAAAAGAGATGTAAGCTTCATTTTTGGAAAGCAACAAAGATGTTTGTTCATGTTCTCAGCCAGCTTAGCCTTTTCATCCTCAGCGTCTATAGTGCACAAGTCCAAGTGGATTACTCTGAAGTCAATGGGATGATTTGTTTAGTAAGTAACATGACTAAGGGATTCGGAAACTGGCTTTAAATTATTACAAGTTAAGCAAGCCATACAAAGGCTGCGAGTATTTTAGAAGTGAAAACATAACAAGGGTGTCCATACCAATAAAATTGTAAAATTTTCCAACACACTGTTCATCATGTATTTCTCTGGTAAATGCTTCAGCTTGTGTATGAAGTTGATCATATATTCACACATTGGAGAGCGATTTATTCTGTACACGAATCGGCCATTTTCAAACCTTGCATATTCAGTCTAAAAAAAAAAGTTAAAAATAACAGCATTTAGTGTAAGATAACTCAAAAACAGCAAAAAAGGGAATATTAAATTTGTTTTTCTTTCTTTGTGTAGACAGAAAAAAAGAGAAAGTGGCTCTTACACACGTGCCTACTTGCTAACTCCCTGCTTGAGCTATGCAGTGCCCTGCTAAAAAAATCAAGAGATCTTAATTACTAAAAGTAATAATATCACTACTTGTTCTCTAATCTGTGAATTAAAAAAACTGAACAGATGAGGATTACACAAAAGTAAGTCCAAGTCAAGTAAAAATGAATTAAGCAGGAAATTTTGTGGTAAGGTGATTTTACAGTAGTTCTGAGGCAACTGTCTGCAAAGGGAACTGCAAAAATAAGCTTATATATTTATGCATAAATACACACATATAAATACAGCCATATTATTGCATGATTTAACAGGCAATTTATGAATTACAGAAAGATGCAAGACTACAGTCAGAAGAAAACCAGACTGATTTAGGATTGAGGGGCTCACAAGGGGCTGAGGGAGGGCCAGGCTGTGACTCTGGGACTCATGCTGCCCAGCTACCAATTGCTCAGATGAGCTACTCAGTGGATTGTGCAATTTTTTTTTTTTTTTTTTTTGCTTCCTCTAAGCTTGGAATAATGGAAGACTTTTTTATGGTCACTATGCACAGAAAATATATTTAGTATAAGAAGGACATGAGCAGTGACCAGGACATCTATAAAGGCTGCAGCTCTGAGCTGAAATTCCTGTACAAAAACTGTCTTGCAGTTAACAGATGGGGGTGTGGGGCTTAGTACACAGAAGACAAGTTCAATAGCTGCAGTACCATTGTACAACAAACCAATGAGCTACCTGACTGCGCCATACGGTTCTGTTCATGGAAAACAAAAGGTAAAAAAAAATAAATATAAGCCCTTGCCCGTTAAGAAAATATGCAACTTTGTATTCAAAAGCTTCTGGTGACTGGGGACCACATGACTTTTGGTGCTTAGAATAAGATAAAACCAGCATGGGTACAGATGAAACACAGCACACTAACCACAGCTTTAAAATGTTTAAAAAAAATCTAGATGATAGAGGGTAGCTCGTCACTGTAGCACAGTTCCAAACAGGTTATGTGGCTGGCCAAATGTTTGGAAATGGGAGCAAAAGCATTTTTGCATCAGCCCTTTTCTGCCAGGTGGTGGAGGAGGTGGCACTGAGGTCAGCTGCACGTTCCCCACCACAGATAGGGTGGAGGAAGGTCTCCAAAGCAGCAGGTAAATGTAGTTTCACCATTCACACAGTGATTTAGAATGAACCCAAACACTGCTAGGAAGGAAAATACTCTTTCAGGAAGGATTAGAGGAAGGAAGGAAAAGCCAGATAAGAGTAAAATAAAGCCAAGCCTAAGGAAAAGCCTAAGTAAAATGAAAGGGAACCAGAGACTCATCCCACATATCCCACCACAACACCCACCTCTACTTTTTCTACTACTTGCTTTCCAAATGAGCAGACTTTGGTGGAACAGGTGATTGTCATGTTTTCTGAGCTCTCGTACTGACTAGTGACTCCGTAAAATGCTCCTGTGTCATCTTGAATGTTGCAGTTTAAGTCAGCCTGTTGGGAAAAAGTAATAGATGATGAAGATTTTCTTTTTCATTTGACAATGTCAGTAGCATAAGCTGTAATTAGCTCCCTGTTCTTTTCAGAAATAAAGGAGAGATGGGGGACACTTTTATAGTGACAACAGTGATAGTGGAAAAGGTCTGTCAGGAAAGTACCTGCCTAATTTTTGCAGTAAAAATCTTAGGGAAGCAGCAATTTCTTCAAACACCACAAGACAGCCCAGTATTTCTCTGGACAACGGGTGATGTTCTTGTCTGGCAGATAGCTGATGAAGTCCCTGGAGCAAAGGAATGATCACCTGCAAGGTGCCTGGCTCCAGAGCTGACTCCTCTGCAGGGAACCTGCCCTGGAGCCTCGAATTCAACTGAGCCATCCCCCTCCTGAGGGGCCATAGTCCACTTTCTCCTTTTCCTTTCTTAAAGCAATGAAATCCTCACGGCAAAGGGCGACAGCTGCGCCACATGGGAATCGATCTCTGGTAAGACTCTGTCGAGCCATAGGGCCCTGATTCAGCAAAGCACTTCACGGAGCTGTAAGATGCAACTCACGGCTTCGAGTGAGCTGTGTGCGCGCTGAGCCGTGCCTACCGCACCAGTAACATGTTACTGGCAGTATTTGATTTCTTTCAGCATTTCTCTGCAGCCTGAATAATTATCTGGCTGCCTTTGATATTTAGCAACAGAGACTGAGACTTGCAGGATCAAGTGAGAAACAGTGCTACATTTAATTATTTATATCCAAATCTAAATCCTGTGCACAGCATGATTAATTTGGCTACAAAGCAACAGCACAAGTCACATGCTGAATCCGGCCTCCCCAGGCCTGCAGCAGCACTGAAGCTGTTCTGCCACAGTGCTCTTTGTCATCATGAATCCATTTTTCAAAAGCCCTCAACTTAAAAGAGCCCTAATATGGATACAGGCAGAGTCTAGGGATATCCACAGCTGGATTTGTTGATTCAGGCACTAGCTCTGCTGACATCTTCGGTGCCCAAGGAGACAGTGGGCAGGGTTTTCTTTTTATGTGGAAATAGCTGATCAGCTACTGCAGCGTAACATCTAAGAACCGCCAGAATTTTTGACTTACTCTGAGACGAGCATGTCAGCAGGGAAATGCACTTTTGCAGCTGTTTCACTTGCAAGTCTAGCTCGGCTTGTTTTGATTACTGGTATAAAAATGTAACACAAAAATTTTCACAGGTACCTTCGTGTTTACCTTGAGACTTTTTAAAAACCCAGTTTACAGGTATATTTATTCACTAGTGTAGAACATTTATAATCCTGTCTTCACTACAGTTCACATCATTTGTAACTGCTATTTAATTTTTAACTAGGCAACAGCTCATTATTAACTCTACTTAGTGTCTACAGTCCTTTATTTGTGGTAGAACACTCCGAGGCAATATGCTGATAATAGCACATACTGAGCTAGTCTGTGGTATGGAAAAGACATAGGTCTAAGATTACTTCAGGCTGGCTTTGGTAAATTAATCAGTGGAGAAGTCTCCTGAGGTTTACATACAGTAACACAAACAGCCCTATAGTCACGTATTTTGCATAACAGAAAGAAATCCTATCGCTATTACACCTTGTTTCTTGCACAAGTTTTGCATGAGGTCAGCAGTTAATGTTTAATATACATCTAAAGCAGTGTGTTTGCAGTGAGCTGTAAGAAATTGTTCTGAGCTAATAGTAAATAAGCAATTTGCCATCACAGCTGGCTTGCAATCGAAACATGACAAACTTCTAAACATGACAAGCTGCAGCAGCCATCAGCCATGCCACAGCTGCTTCACTGGAATTTCTGACGAATAGGGATTTCTTATAAAACAACTGCATCATTGCAAGTAATACTAATAGTAATATTCTCTTAAAAAGTGGTTTTTCCTGCTGCTACCACAATTACAATTTCACTATCAAACCATTTTCCTTTTTTTTTTCCTTTCAGATACAGGCAAAATATTTAAGAAATGATAACTAAAATGCTCCTCACAATTTCATGTTGTCAAGAGAGTCACCCACATAGATCTTACTTTTCAAGCTGCAATAACAACTGCTTAGAATTTAAAAAAACCCCACAACTTTCTGTCTCTCTGTTGCCTTCTGATTTTGAAGTCCACTAAAAAAAAAAAAACTAATTGTTGTATTTGCATGCTGACATTTAACCTGGAAAAGTAACACATGTGACCATCTGGCACCCTGTTGATCACTCCCACAGCTCTTCCAATTTTTGCTGAAATGACCAGGAGTCCTGTGTACACAAAAAATACAGGCTGGGGCCCAGATGTTTGAATGAGGAACACTTGAAATTATCACTCAAATGTCATGATTTACTGTTACACAATCATGACATTGTTGCAAAAGTCCCATGATGATAATACAGACATGCATTATCTTCATTTGCTCTCTGATCTCTTTTTTTTTTTTTTTGAGTCTAGCACACAATAAAGGTGTTTAAGGAAGGACAGAATTTTCCTTTTAAACAACGCTTTCCATGTTCAACTAGTTACAGACTGCTGAGAGCTGAAGCTTTAAGACTCCTCCAAAAGTACACCACCAACATAAAAATAATGAGTTGGCAGTGGCAAATACTCTTAAATTAAGGCTTCACCAAAGCCGCTTTTAATACTGAAAGAGTTTTGTCCATTCTCACATAGTGAAACAAATCTTTCCCCCCAGTCTGGGTTCAAATTTTTTCAGTAGCAGCTGAGCACATGAACACTAGGAAGGAGTGCGTGTCATTGTGAGGAGGGGATTGTCACATCAAGTATTCTGAAACAGCTGTTGAAAGCTTTGTTCCATGCTGAATACCTTTAGGAAAGAAGGAAAGACTATCACTGTTGGTGAAATACAAAACTTTGGTTAAAAAATGATGGTGAAAGACTTGCTAATTATATAGTTATGGCTTCCATAGTAAGGGGTTAATCTAAACACATACGCCTGAAAGCAAAATTGTATTTCTTGAACTGACGAAAGTGGGTCACAATCAAAATTCGGGGTTTGGGTTTTTTTTTCCCAAAAGAGGTTATAAGACTACCAAAAAAAAAAAAAACCAAATAGCTGCGCTAAAAATGGTCACTGATGTGGCTATGGGAGTTGTAGATGTAGCTTTAAGCAGGAATAAGGTGATGTGTTACCCCAGTACTCAGTCTTAGCAGGCTCCTTACTACAGTATTGATTCCAGTTTTTGTGTCTACATTTTAGAAAGGATGTTGGAAAATTGGAAAGTGTTCAGAAAAGAGTTACAAGAATGATTTCAGGTCTGGAAAACATTCTTTGTAGTGAATGACTAATGAAACTCCATCTACTTACTTTTTCCGAGGGAAGTTTTTCCACCACTTTGTCATAGCCTACAAGTTGCTACACGGGGAAGAGTCTTCTGATAGATTAAATCTTGCAGGAAAGGACATTAAAAGACAGAAAGCTAAAACTACACAAAAGCTAAATCAGAAACAAGGCAGAGGCTGATAACCCTCATGGCAATGAAATGCTGGCGTAATTTTCAAATGTGGTGGAATCACCATTACTTGAGGTCTTTTTTAAGCAAGTGAAATGTCTAACAGGGATGCTCTGGTTCAAGTAGGCTTATTGTCCAGAGGCAGACATTACTTAGTGAGGCTCACTGCCTATATTAGTGAAGAGGCAAGACTAGATAAATATAATATTAGCAAAATTGAAAGACAGGAATTTATCTTATTAACCACAATTAACCCTCTCTTTATAATTTCCTTTTTCAACGATCTCTGTGAAAAATGTGACAACAGTCAAGCTTCTGGAGTGCTGTGCTTGCAGCCTCTCATGATGCAACCAGCGTTGTCTCCTTATTCCTTGGTACTCTGTCTCTAGCTGTTCTCTTGCATTTCAGACTCAGATTGCAAGTCTTCCTGGGCTCTAAACCAGTCTTCCCTCCTGTACAGCTTCTCATGCAACTATGCTCTGACCTGTAGCTCCAGGAACTAGGGTTGGTGAGCGTTATTATAGCATACACAGATACACAACCTTTTGAATGGTGATTGCAAATATATTGTCATGATTTCAAGTATTACGGCATTTCAAATATTGTGGCATGATCACATATGATGAACAGGAGTCCATTTACTAATTTAATTTTAAAATACAAGATCAATAAGCAATATAATTTAGGAAAGAAACCCCAACAACTTAAAAACACAAATGGATTTTTTTTTTTTTTTTTTTTACTTTCAAGAGTCAAATTCTAATTTTGATTTATTTCTAAGAGCTGAGATTTATATTAGCTGAATGCATTTGGAGGCGAGAGAGGCACTCAGCTTTCTGGCACCTTATCTACACTGGTTGTGCAAGAGCATGATTAATTCATTAATAAAGCATAGCTTGTCAATGGGTAGCACTGAAAATATTACGTATTAAAAGCACCAAGTGTTCGACATGCTGCATGGAGAAGCCTCTGCCAGTGTGCCAGAGCAAGCACCAAAACTGAGCTAGCTGCAACACAAACAAAGAGTAAAAACAAATAAAAAATCCTCTTCACATTCACTTCAGAAGAGCTCTTGGGCTCTGTGTTAAAGGCAGGGGGCAGAGGGTAGAGTGCTTGGGTAATAATAACAGCTTTGGCTAACAAAAAAGCAACTCCA